AATAGATGAATGTATGAGACAGAGGCAGAATATTCGGGATAGAACCCGCAGATCCTCCATAAGACTAGCTCCCTCATTTCAGACTTCTGATTCTACTACTTTAGCTCTCCCAGAACCTATGCAAATAGGTAATACTCGACTCTCAGAAGAGGAAAGACAGTACAGGAGAAGGGAGGGGCTTTGTATGTATTGCGGAATAAGAGGTCACCCACGCCTAAATTGCCCTAACCGGCCGGGAAACGCTCGCACCTAAGTTTCTCAAGAGGACAGGCCTTGGGTGTTTCTATCTTGTCCTCTATATATGATTATAAAGATCATAGGCTTCTGATACCTGTTTCTTTAGCTGGGGAAAAGGGAGTACTTAATGCTATGGCTTTGATAGATTCCGGAGCAGCTGAAAGCTTTATTGACCAAGCCTTTGTCACTAACCATTCTATCCCATCTCAGCTAAGGGATACACCCTTGGCCGTTGAGGCCATAGATGGTAGACCATTATCTGAACCTGTTATTTTTTGTGAAACCATACCAATTAAGTTAACCACTGGTATCCTTCACGAGGAAAGAATATCCCTCATGCTGATCTCATCTCCTTCAGTTCCTATAGTCTTGGGGTATCCCTGGCTTAAGAAGCATAACCCTATCATTGACTGGGAACTGGGTGAGATAGTCTCCTGGGGTCAGGGTTGCCAGAGAGGATGTTTGCAGAAAGTCTCACCGATTTGCAGGGTTGACGCCCCGGTTAACTCTTCCCAACCTACAGATTTACAGATACCGTCGCAGTACCTGGATTTAAAGGCAGTCTTTGACAAAAAGAGGGCTGATACTTTACCTCCACATAGGTCTTTCGACTGTAAGATTAGACTCCTACCTGGTACCATGCCTCCGAGGGGTACGGTATATCCTTTATCCACTAAGGAAAACTTAGTCCTAGAGGAGTACATACGTGAAAACCTAGACAAAGGATTTATTAGGAGATCATCTTCTCCGGCCGGGGCCGGTTTCTTTTTTGTAGATAAAAAAGACGGCACTCTACGGCCTTGCATTGATTATCGGGGCTTGAATAAGATAACTATTAGAAATGCTTATCCCATTCCTTTAATTACTGAGCTCTTTGATCGACTGAAAGGCTCCAAGATTTTTACCAAGTTAGATTTGAGGGGAGCTTATAACTTGGTGAGAATTCAGCAGGGAGACGAATGGAAAACAGCTTTCAATACCCGTTATGGCCACTATGAATACACGGTAATGCCCTTCGGGCTTTGCAATGCACCTGCAGTATTCCAGGACCTTATTAATGAGGTTCTTAGGGAATTTCAGCATGAATGCGTTATAGTATATTTGGATGATATACTAATACACTCTAGAGAGATTGAGACTCACCACAGACAAGTCAGAAGGGTACTGCGCAAACTGTTACAACATGGATTGTACTGCAAATTGGAAAAGTGTAGCTTCGACCAATCTCAGATAAACTTTCTTGGCTACGTTATTTCTGGAGACGGATTTAGGATGGACCCCATTAAACTCCAATCGATTTTAGATTGGCCATTGCCCAGGGGACTCAAGGCCATTCAGAGATTTATCGGATTCTCCAATTATTATAGGCGCTTCATTAAAGGTTACTCTTCTATTATTGCTCCTATTACCAATATGACTAGACAGGGTGCTGATACCAAGACTTGGTCTACAGAGGCTCTCTCTGCTTTCAAAACACTCAAAGAACATTTTGCCTCAGCACCGATATTAGTTCATCCTGACACATCTTTGCCTTTTCTACTCGAGGTAGACGCCTCGGAGACAGGTATAGGCGCTATCTTGTCCCAAAGGCTAGGTTTGGATAAACCGTTACATCCATGTGGGTTTTTTTCCAAGAAATTATCTGGGCCTGAAAGTAGATATGACATTGGTGATAGGGAACTGTTAGCGGTCATTATGGCTTTAAAGGAATGGAGACATTTGTTGGAGGGGACATTATACCCGGTTACTATTTTGACGGATCACAAGAATTTGTCCTACATAGGGGAGGCCAAGCGCTTGTCCGCCAGGCAAGCTCGTTGGTCCTTGTTTCTGACACATTTCAATTACGTGCTCACTTATAGACCTGGTTCTAAGAACTCTAAGGCAGATGCATTGTCCCGTCAACATGAACCTTCTACGGTGTCTGAAGCAGCTTTGTCTTCTATCGTTCCCAAGTGTAATATTATTGCCAACACATGTGTCAGGATACACTCGCCGTTGCTTGCTGAGATCAAGAAAGTACAACATCTAGCTCCCAAACCTGTTCCTGGGGATCGATACTTCGTTCCTCCTGAGCTCCAAGTGGAACTGCTGCATTGCTTTCATGACAGTAAAATTGCTGGGCACCCCGGCATACGCAAAACGTGTTCCCTGATTTCTAAAGATTTCTGGTGGCCTTCCCTTCGTAAGGATATAAGGGATTTCGTCAGGGCATGTGCTGTCTGTATGAAGACTAAGCAACCTCACGCGCTCCCTTGTGGACTTTTGCACCCCTTAGAAATTCCCGAGAGACCATGGTCGTGTTTGGCTATGGACTTCATTGTCGATTTGCCTGTTTCTAAAAAACATACTGTTATTCTCACGGTGATTGACAGGTTTACTAAAATGGCTCATTTCGTGCCCTTGCCTAAACTGCCCTCGTCTCCCGAATTAGCTGAGATATTCGCGAGGGAGATTTTTCGTTTACATGGTATTCCCTCTGAAATTGTTTCTGATAGAGGTTCCCAATTTGTTTCCCGCTTTTGGAAGTCTTTCTGTTCTCACTTAGGCATCAAGTTGAATTTCTCATCTGCCTATCATCCCCAGTCCAACGGAGCTGCCGAACGCACCAACCAAAAGATTGAACAATATTTGCGTTGTTTTGTTTCTGAACACCAGGACGATTGGGTTGGTCTGATTCCTTGGGCAGAGTTTGCACACAACAATCTCGTTTGTGATTCTACTCGTTCTAGCCCCTTTTTCTTGAATTATGGCTTTCATCCTTCCATTCTTCCGTCGGTTTCCCCTTCCCAAGGGGTTCCGTCGGTTGATGTTCATGTCGCCAATCTGAGAAAGTTGTGGGATCAGACTCGACGAATTCTTCTTCAGAATTCCATGGTGTTCAAACGACACGCTGACAAACGGAGACGGGTGGCTCCGGTTTTTGCCCCGGGTGATAGGGTGTGGTTGAGTACCAGAAACATCCGCTTGAAGGTTCCTTCCATGAAATTTGCCCCTCGTTACATAGGCCCTTACAAGGTTCTGTGTCGGATTAACCCGGTTGCGTATCGTCTTGCCCTTCCGCCTGCCCTGCGCATCCCTAACTCTTTTCATGTTTCCTTGTTGAAGCCTTTGGTTTGCAACAGATTTTCCACCGCTGAGTCCTCCCCTCTCTCTGTCCAGGTTGAGGGTCAGGAGGAATATGAAATCAAATCCATTCTCGATTCTCGTATTTCTCGGGGGAGGTTGCAATATCTTGTTGACTGGAAGGGGTATGGTCCTGAAGAAAGGTCTTGGGTGGTCCATGAAAATGTGCATGCCCCCCGTCTCCTCCGGGCATTTCATGCTCGTTTTCCGTCTCGCCCCGGTTCCTTCCGCCCGATGGGCGTTTCTGAGAGGGGGGGTACTGTCAGGTTACCTTTGGTGTCTACCTCGGAGGAGGTTAGACACCTAGACGTCCATCCTCCCAGGGGGGCTGACTCACCCGATCCTTGCACTCCTCCCGGTCGTTTACACGCCGGCCGCGATAGCTCCGCCTCCTTTTATGACGCGGCGCTCAGTAGCCGACGTCATGACGGCAATCACGTTCCGACCCGTCAATCACGGCAACCAAGTGCCGAACAACGAATCAGGACTCGTTGGGGGCGGAGCCAACAGTTAAAGAGCCAAGGTATAAAAAAGGGTTCTGTGGAATGATTCATTGCCCTGTCGTGGTTCTAGCTAGTCTGGTCACTCAGTGCAATTACCTCTATTGTCTTTTGGTTCCTGACTCGGCTTGTATTTTGACCCTGCTTTCCTCTCTTGTCCTTTTGACTCGGCTTGTCTCTCGCTTACCTGATCTCTCGTTCCCTCGACCTCGGCTTGTCTCTGACCATTCTTTTGCTTTCTCCTTACGTTAGTCCGGCCATTCTAAGGTCCGGTATACGTACCTATCTCCTGTTTGTATTCTGCGTGTTGGATCCCTGTCACGATCCTGACAACTTCCTCTTTGTCTCCAGTGTTTGGGAGATGGACAGCTGAACGCTTCCATGGGACAGTGTGGAGATGCTTGGGAACTGTGGCGGACATGGTGGCGTTGCTGCCACATCCTCTATTTGCGGGATGGAGGAAGAGGTGGAGGAAGAGGCCGAGACAACAGCAGAAGAGGAAGCAGGAGGAG